CTTCTGACTCTCGTTTGGAGTGGATTATACTTTCCCCGCATGAGCAAGAGTAGTAAACATGTGGTTTTGCACCTGTGCTGGGCTCTCGCGCCTGGGTACTGAAGGGACGGGTGCCCAGGCCAGGTTAGTGGCAGTTTGCTTGCTTCATTCACAGGCTGTCCCAGGCGTGAGAACGGTCCCCATATGTCCCCGCTGCAGCATCGCTTGGGCTAACAGATCCCAGCTCCCTTACGGCGGCGTTGTTTGCTTGGCCGTGCGTCTGTGCCACGCCCATCCGGAGCGGAGCCGGCGTCAGTGCGATCTGCTGGTGCCTTGTATGGGAAAACTGGCGTTTTAAAGTAAGCTTAATCGCCCGGAGGCTGAAAGAGGGCTCTACTCCGGCCTTCTTTTTCGTCTTTCATTCACAAAAAGTAGCTGTTACAAATCCTCTCAAAGTGGAACTAAGTGCCAGTGACTGTGGCAGCATGGGAATCGTTTGGACAATGCGGGAGATTCCTGGTTGCTTGTGATGGCAGCGGCGCTGCCGATGGGAGAATTCCTGAGACTTTTCCGAATTCCCTTCACACACATATCCATATTTCGACTGTCCGTCCGCCCTTTTTACGTGCTCAAGGATGGATTATGCATCACTTCCTCATCCATCCCAGCCAGCCGATGATGCCGCTGATGATAACTTACGTATTCAGCACTTGTTGACCGCTCCAGAAATACACACGGCGCAATCTCCCAGCAGCTCCGTTTTGGTACCACCGCCTTCATCATCCTCCTCTACACCCCAGCATCGTTACCGTCATGACCTTGTTATTCCGTCACCAGTTACGTCCACACTGTGCTATCGTCGTTCTCCAACGTCCATCGAGCTCATCAGTAGCGCTGCTACCACAACCGCAACTCGCAACAGTACTGCAGCCACTGCTGCTGCTATCACTAGTCCACTGTCCACATCCTCATCATACTGTTATTATCCACAGCTTTCCGGTTTACAACACTCCTCGCAGCCTCTGTGGCATTCGGCTGCTAATTTTCAACACATGGGCAGTCAAACCACCAGTGTTTTCAACTACCAAATCCAGCAGCAACAACAACAACAGCAACAGCAGCACCATCATCAGCAACAGCAATTTCATTATCATCACTATCAGCAGCAACAGCACCAGCAATACCTCTTTCACTCACAGCATCCTGGACATTGCACATCTTTGGGTACCACTCTTTGCTACTATTACTGTCACTGTTCGTGGTGCTCGGCTACATTTGCAGTATTTTTTTATATTTTTCTTGCCGTCGCAAAGCAGTTATATATAAACGACGGGCGATTCGGGCTTTTGAGTGCCGTTTAGAGAGAATTTTGATATCACTCATTTTGCCTTTGACAAACTAAAACCCAGGCTGAAACCCACCAGCCGTGCCGGTGCGATTTTGCGTTTTTGCACTAAACTTGCAGATTGCTAATAGCAGGAATGACCCCCACGCTGTAGCCTAACACTTGGGCTCATATTGGTCCCGTTCTGGCCTCTTCCGGCATGCAAGAGAAAGGGCGTCAGTTGGGGTGAAGGTGATGCACTATAAGGCCGCTTGGGCCTCCAAGTACATGATTACCAGTTTTTTTGCATGAAGCGCGATCTTTTTTTTTTGACAAATGATCGCTTTTTGAAAAAATGAAAAATGCAGATTTCCAGATCACTAAAAAGTGGAAATGTTGTCAGAGCGGTCGTTCGTCAAAAAATCCAAGTTTGCAACTGAACTGGATGTTCATTTACATATTTGGATGAGAGCGGTCGTTCGCTGCAAAACACACTCATTTCTGATTTTTCGGTAAAGTTGAGTAGGAAATTTCTCCTCCAAGCAGAATTGAGACCGCACTTGAAAGTAGAATATCCCAGTGGAGTTTCAGCCCCGCACCTTACCGGTCAAGCGAAATATCCACTTCGCTACAAATATCTTTGAAGTGCCCTAAATCGTGGCGCAACTGAAGATCGGTACGCATTTTAGGTACACGATTTTCCATATGGGCGTCAGACATGTTGACAAAATTTCAGTCGCTGTTTTTCGACAAGTTTTCGAGTTAGCACAGTACCAAGTTGCAACTTTGATGTGGTAGTATGCGTTGTACAAGAGTGCGCCACTGCTCAATTTGAAATATTTAGCTCGCTCATGCACAGAGAATGTCCCTTCAAAG